CGAGATAAAAAGTTACGGATAGCTCGATCTAGCGAACTTTAGTGAAGGACTATCCTCCAGAACTGCAGTATATGACAACTGTCACTGTTTTTTTTTGCAATTAAGACCTGTTTCAACTTGTTGGGCCAGTCCTTCAAAAATGGTAGTGCGGCGTAGTCTTGAAAGTCCACTTATTATTGTCACAGAAAACGACATAAATTAAACTAAACTTTATTTGTCAGAGGAAAATAAAGTAATGACTGCGTAGAAGAATTTCTAATCTCTACAGTAATTCAATTTGAGTCAATTTTAGGCTTAACTAGACCTCTCTTATTACAGTAATTCTTTTTTAGCAAAAAACCCTAATCTCTTTTCTCTAGAGCTCTCTTATTTTGAGCTCTTGATCTCAATTTACATAATTTTACGACAGGTAACTTAGAAATTTTGTGAAAGGAGTGATTCCAAATGAAAGACTTATTTTTTTCACAGTACATAAAATTACAGCCAGTATGTACAAAAACTTATGGATATAAGGTGAATGGGGGAGGATAGACAGCTCAGGAGGAAGATAATAAACTTAAGAACGGTACAATAAATAATTTAAAAAAAAGAACTTTATGAAAGAAGCACTGACCTGATGGTAATTTCAAGCAGCACCAGAATTAGAAGTATAGAATGGCTCACAAGTAAGAGCTAGCTTAGAATTTCAAAAATGAGAATTAGTAATAGACTCAATCCTGAGGATAGAACTTCAGAAATGAAATTCAACGGTAGACTCAATTCTGAGGATAACTCTAACAAAAAACGACCAGTTCAGACGATAGTCCTTTTTTATGATAACAATGTTTTTTCTTACAAATTTTATAACAATTGAATTTTCTTCCTTTCAGTGAACATTCCATTTGGCCTCCCAAAAGGAAGCAAATTCCTTGTTTTTCCAAATGAGTGAAACAGAGTTTGCTGTTCTTTTGACCTTTGGTATCGGCAGTGCTTTGAGTTTGTGCGGTGCAAACAAGGATTTTTATGTTTTCAATTGTTTCTCCAACATATGTTGTTCGCTAAGTTTTCTTAACGAAACTTTACTATACGATTTACTGTATTCAAAATTCTAAATGCTTCTCAATTCGATGAAAAACATCGACAAACTGTAAAGTCCTAACCCAAAAAGGGTGCTCCGAAAATCGTGTAACATATAAGCTCTTCACGAAACTCTTGATTTTGTAATTCTTATGTAATTCAAAATTTCAAGATTACACTTAAATATTGACGAAAGATTTTTCTTATTCTTTTGCTGCAGAGGAAAAGAAATATATTGGAATTAAAAGGTAACATACTTATGAAGCAAGAAACTTTCATAAATTTTAATTTTTTACTCGCCCTACTACATCAATGTAAACAAAATATTTTGAGAGCGTATGGAAAGGAAATAGCAGAAATAGTTGATTTATTTTCAATTTTCTTCATTCGAGGTAGCAGTCAAAATCTCAGATTTTCATCAAGCCTATTCTGCTGAAAAATATATGAAACTGTTAAGTCACTTAAAAAACAGCTTTCTCCTACACCAATGAAAAAAATACTTTTACATCAATAAATGTTCTAATTTAACAACAGAAAGCTGGTTGGCAGCAATTCATGGAAAAAACTTATTTGACAGGTTTAAAATTAAGATGTATAATATCCATAGAGTGCAAAGAATTTGTTTTGCCGTTCTTCTGTGCTAATCGTTTGTGGGGTTCGTCTTATGAACGAACTTACTGTTGTGTATCCCGTTTTCTAGCCACTCTTTTTCACATTATTCCCAGAGGAATAAAGGTCATACTTACGAAGGCAAATCTTTTATCAGGTTTTTTCAACTGTGTAAGGGTGCATACTGCAGCAATCTTAAGCAGTATATATTAACAAGTTTCGCGCCCCAGTTTTTGCAAGGAGCAGATGGAAGCGCGCTCGGCCTCCTAAAAATTTGACCAAAGACTTGTTTAGATGAACTTTTAACAGTCCAATATTGACAGAAATAAGTTTGCTGCATGTATCAACAATTCTTTACTCCGACTAGCAACTTAATTTTATAAATATTCAATTCTGTGTAAATATTTTTATATCCACAAATCCACAAAACAGAGTTTGTACTGTATTTTTCTTAAATTTCTAAAAGATTCATAAACGGATGTTCCCACAATTGATTTCAAAAAAAAAAAATAAAATAAAATGGCTATTGCTTTCCATAAGTAGTTAATTAACTGAAAACCTTTATTTTTGATTTCAAGGTATTCAAAAACCACTGGTGAAAGTAGCTTTCTTTTAAATAAAACTTTAAACGGCTTATAAATTAAAGGTAACAAGTAAACAATAAATTACTATACAGATGGCAATTGGGAGAGGACGACTTAACCTCATGCAATGAACAAAAATTCTGGGCAATAAAAACTAGGAAAAAGTTTTGATTAAAAAAATCTCGAGATGTTTTAAAAACTTCATTTTTAAAATTGTTCGACGTGACTGCAAGGAACGAAAATAAATGGATCAAACATAACATCATAATAATAACTACCGTCACTACAAATCGACTCCTCTCAAAACCAAGTTTGCGAAGGACTTCTGTCAGTTAAGGTTTTGGCTAAGAGATAACCATCAAAAGAAAGTCCCCGATGAATCTAAAATACAATAACAATTTAACCTCAGTAGGAAACGTCTCTCTTTGACTAAAAATATTACAGCAAATATTTCATAACGTTACTCCGAAATAAACATCCTTTTATGAAATAAGTAATCTCACAGTTTACTCCCATAAATTTTCCCTAAACAGACTCAAAATGCATTTAAGGAAACAAAAAAGCAGCCATATAAGACGGTATCATAAAACCACACATAGGGATTTAGAAATTAAGGATGTAAAAAACTGTTGAATAAAAAGTTAAGATTTAAAATCTACATATCCAACGACGAGCACTTTTATAAAAAGAAAAAAAGACGACACAGAAAATCGGTAAGCTGCGATATCATAATTAAGCAGCTTGGAAAAAAAAGTTACGACGTTTGAATGCCTCATAAGTCTTCATTAGTTATTTTGAGCGCATCGTAATTAGTCGGTAGCTTATCCTAAAAATCACTTGTAGCAACAACTAAAAGAAACAAGTATCAAACACCACTGTCATTTTTTGTCAAATGCTTCGTACTTTTTTACAATTGATATCAGTAAAAGTTACCGAGATTATGGTGAAGAGCTCTTCGTATACACTAGTATCTTCCAGGAATGAACAACGTTTACTGTCATTAACCTGTTCTACAATTCCGGTATCCACTAACGACCTGTTTTTTTGCCGTACTTCTTCGCTATTCGGATAATCGTACTCAGCGGCAATTTCTTGATATGGTTCGTGTGATGGTTGAAAATTTGGATTGCAGCAATTGTTTGAGTCATCACATAAATTTCCATCTACTTGCTGTGAGGATGGAGTTACTGGGCAGAAATCATCAACTGCTTCTCCAAAATTCTGCTAGTACAGAACATAAAATATATAGTCTTCAGGCCTCATCACAGCAAAAAATGCTAAGAGTTAATATCTGCGCTTCACATTCAAATTTCGTACAACTTTTAAACTGAGCAGTTCAAGTCGCCAGAAGTATATTAGAGGAGAAATAATTAGATTTCTAAACACCAGTGTACTGCACTTTAGCCCGGAATTTTTTCATCGCAGTGACGAAAAGTGTCCATAAAAAAATTCGTTTTTTTGATTGATCCGGCATAAGACTAGATAAGACGAACCCGTGAAACTTCTAACACAAGAGAGTTTAAACCAAGGGACAAGAAAGCAGCGTTACGATGGACGCGCACTCGCAAACAGAAAAAAGCATTGAGAAAGGGTATAACAACGATCGAACATGATGAAATGTTTTGTACAAACGTATTTGTGCGCCGATATTTGAAATATGCGAGGTGTTCCAAAACCAGCTCTAGGATAATTTGTAGACCACAGTTAAAATAACAAAATGTAGTTAGCTGAACAATGAGGCACAGCTCTGAACATAAGTCCTACCTATTTGAGATTTAAAGATAGTTCTTTACTGGGAGAAAGACAAAATAGCTTCTTGAAAATTTGTTACCTATCTTGCTCACGTCAGCTCAATTCTGGCGGAAATGTGCAGCTAAACCTTACTCACTCAAGCGGAAGAAATTAATAAAAGGTCTAGAAAAATGAATGAAAAGTAATCGCGAAAAACTAAACGATGCCAATGCATAATTAGCTGCGTTATCCTTGAGAAATAACACTTCCAGTATTCAAAAAGGCAGAAGTGAAAGCATCCGTTGGCAAATCTTACTAGACCCATTCTATCCAGAGGGTTACTAATGGCCACATATTTCCAAACAACAAACTTCATTTGTTCCTTGATAAGACTTTCATAAATTTAAAGTGTTGGCCACGGTTAGCTTTTTTTGCTCAATAATTTTCCCCTTCTCCTCCGTAATCCTAGCCTTCCTAAAGCTAGAGGCAGCGTAAAAACTATAGTGTTCTATTATCATCAGCAACCTAACTTCAAAATGCTCTAAATTTCTGAAGTGAAACCCAACATATGAAAAATTTTTGCCAGCTAACCAGAGTATATGTACACTAGAGACGAGAAGTCTCGTCGTAAGTTTCGCTACTGGATGAGTTTCTTAATTCTGTTGCTGCGTGCGGTA